TACAAATTACCGGGGGCCCAGCGGTCCGGAAGGGGCCCGGGCCCGGTTTCCCCAGCTGTTTAGCTGGTCCGCCCTTGCCGGGGGGCCTGAAAGTTTTTTTTCACCGGGGCCCGAACCCGCTCTCGGCGGCCCTGTCACTGACACCTCTTCATACAAAGATACAAAAGCCCCCCTCCCTGCCCCCCCTCCGCCCCTTCCATGAGGCCTCGCCCCTGCCCCACCCCTTCCCCAAAGTCCCCGCCCCAACTCCACCCCTTCCCGCCCCCATGCCAACCCCTTCTCCAAAGTCCCCGCCCCAAGTCTGCCCCCTCCCTGCCCCGATTCCAATCCCTTTCCCAAATCCCCGCTCCGGCCCCGACTGTTCCCCAGAGCACGCCATGTCCCTGCTCCTCCCCCCTCCCTCCTGGAAAGTCCTACGCGCTGGGAGGTAGGCGGAAGAGCGGGGACACGGTGCCAGGGCCAGCGCAACCCATTAGGCGACCTAGGCGGTCGCCTAGGGCGCTAACATTTGGGGGGCGGCGACCGCGGTGTCCGGATCTTCGGCCGCCCCGGTCGTCGGCGGTATTTCGGGGGCGGGACCTTCCGCCGCCTCTGTCGGGGGCAGTATTTCGGGGGCGGGACCTTCCGCCGCCTAGGGTGGCAAAAAAGCTGGTGGCGCTCCTGCATGGTGCGACGGGGGGCGGGGAGGGGAGCTTGGCTGCCGGTGGAGTCGGCACCTATGGCGGGCTGAGGAAATAACTCGGCCCACGGGCCATGTGTTTGAGACCCCTGCAGCAGAGGCTCCTGAGGTTTCCGGTTCAATCCCCACTGCAGCTAACTCCCCAGGGCTGGTGCATTAGAGAGCCACTCAACTACCCTCTCCTCCCTGAATCAATGTAAGGGGCCCCTCCTGCTGGAACCTCTCGTCCACATGTGTTGGAACTTGGAGGGGGTCCCTGGGACCTCTGCCCGGAGAAAGGGGACCCTCACCTCTAGGAGCTAGCAGATGAGATAAGATGCTCTCCCCAGGGCAGTGTTCTCATCTCCCATTCTTCTCCCCTCCAGCTATAGCCCTGGCCCTCTCCAGGAGCTGGGAGCACACTCAGCAAGCAAGCAGGACCTGATTGAAGACAATGGCCCAAATCCCATTGATTTAGATGGGAACAAGCTGAGACCCGTGTTCCTTGCTCACCGAAACTGCCCTTCTCCACCTTCCCCTCCCCCATCAGCTAGAGGTGCGGGAGTCCCCGGCCATTCTCCAAGATTTACACCATCTCTGGCCTGCTTGTCACTTGCACTGAAGCCTACTCAACACTCATTGTTAACAACAGGCCATGGTAAGCCCCAGCCGGTGGATCTCTCCAGGGCGGGGTTGCGGGGGCTTGGAGAAGCTTGGCATGTTGCTGGGTGGATCCATGGCACCTCTCCCTAGCGCTGGACGGCAGGACAATCCCAAGCTCCCACGTAGGTCTGATGTCACCCCAGAGAGGGGAGCTATGATACACTACTGTCCCAGCATTTTTATAGGAGCCCTTCACAACCTCTGGATGGCGAGTGCTTGTGAAAAACATTAGACACCCTGCGCTCCTGTTGCACTTTCCACGCTCAAAGCTCTGACCAACATTCGCTAGCAAATCCTTACAGCCCCCCTCTGAGGCAGGTAAACAGATCAGCAGTATTATCTCCATGTTACAGGTGGGGAAACTGAGGCACAGAGCGGCAACATGGCGAGTCAGCGGCAGAGCTGCTCAGAGGTGGATGGACTACGCCGGTGGCTAATGCTGGTGGAGCTGAACTGATCTTCACAATAACAGGGGAGTCGTTGGGCTTAGTTCGTTCATGCTCCTAAAGCACAGAGATGGGCACAGCATCGGAGTGCAGGGCCGCCCAGAGGGGGGGCAAGTGGGGCAATTTGCCCCAGGCCACGGGCCCTGCAGAGGCCCTGCGGGCCCTGGCCTTTGAATCCCTTCCCTGGCTACTCACCCAGTGGTGATCCGGGTCTTCGGCGGCATTTCGGCGGCGGGTCCTTCAGTGCTGCTGAAGATGTGGAGCAAGTGAAGGACCCGCCGCCACACACTCGGAGCACCGCCTGGTGAGTACAAGCGCCACAGCGGGTGGTGCCTTTTTTTATGTCCGCTCCCCTGCTTTGCCCCAGGCCCCCTGAATCCTCTGGGCGGCCCTGTCGGAGTGTCATTATCATGCAAGGCACGTGTTGGCCCAGGCCCAGGAATTCCCCTCCCGGGCAGAACTGCCACTGCCGACTCTTCTTATTCTTGGCGCTGAGATGAGCCAAAAGGATCTTGGGGAATTGTGTGTGTGTTGGGGGCGGAGGGGCAAAGTTTCCTTCTTTATGGTAGTTGAGCGTATGTGTGAGGAAGATTCACTGGGAAAACGTAAGGGATGAATTTAAACTGGTGCATAGCACCCACCGGCAGCCAGCTCCCCCCCCCACCCCGCCGATCAACTTCTCCCTCTCCTTCCCAGCGCCTCCCGCCCATCGCGATCAGCTGTTCTGCAGCATGCAGGAGGTGCTGGGGAGAGGGGGAGGAGCGGGGACGGGGTGTGCTCGGGGGAGGGGGAAGAATTGGGTGGGAATTGGCCAGGCATGGGTGGAGCGGGGAAGGAAGAGGAGGGCAGGGGCTTGGAAGAAGAGGTGGGGGCAGTGCCTGGGGTGGGGCAGGAATGGGGACTTGGGGGAAGGGGACTGGGGCAGAGGGGGTATTCAGCACCCCCAGGGTCCGGAAGAAGCCGGTGCCTATGAACTGGTGGACAAGACTCTTGTTTCAGTACAAGAATGGCTCCCTCGGTGCCTATTCCCATGCAATGAGCAGGGGGCGGCGCTACATGAGGGACTGGCGCACACAGAGACTAAGTGACTTGCCCAAGGTCATACGGGAAGTCTATGACAGAGCGGGGAATAGAACCCAGGGCCCCCAACTCCTGGGCCGCTGGACCACTCTTCCTCTCTTACAGTTTAAGCCAAGTCAGTTTGGAACAGGTCAACGCTAAACCAAAATAAGCCACTCCTACGAAAGACGAGTGTCCACACAGTCCCCTTTTTATGCCCTGTCCCGGGAGTCACCACTTTTTGTTGTTGCAAAACTGGGCATTTGTCCCATTTGCTCTTGCCAACTGATCATCGGCTGTCAAGAGCAAACAGGACAAATACCCAGTTTTGCCAAACAAGTGGGGCAGGGAGGAACGTTCAGAAGGGCGGGTGAGCGGCAACGCCAGTCCCGCACAGTGGGGCTTGGGCAAGCAGTGATGCCAGGCGGCTCAGGCCAGCCAATACGGGGTGAACGGGGGGCCTTGGGCAAGTCCCGTGCAGTGTCCCGTTTTCCCTTTGAGAAATACGGTCACCCTACCACACACCCTTCTGAACAGATCAGTTTAAAAACCAATTTACGTGAGATGACTGACACTTGCTCATGTGGACAAGCTCTGTGGTGGGTGGGAGTACTCTGTGTGTACAGAGAGGGGAATTCTGCGTGTACAGAGTGTAGATGTTCTGTATGTGTGTAGATGTTATGTATGCAGAATGCATGGGGGCATGTGCTATATGTGTGTCTGTCTCATGTGTCCTGTGTGCAGAGTGCATGTATGTGCATTACAAATTTGGCTATATATATATATGCACACATTTCAATCAAGTGGAGACTAGTCCATGCCCTAAGACATGCCTCTTCGAGGCATTTCACAATCCCTACCACTTTGGGTTTGTCAAACAACTGCCTAATTAACCCTCACAACCCTGCAGTCAGGTGGGTCGGGTCAGCAGCGGCATCCATATTTTACAGCTGGAGAAACTGAGGCACGGCACAGGGGAAAGACTCATCCACGGTCACATGGGAAGCCAGTGACAAAGTCAGGATTAGAATCTAGGAGCCCCGCGCTCGGACCATGCTGCTGTTCCACACCGGCTACGTTATACAGCAAGTGAACATATTTAACTGTTCATCAGACTCTGGGAGTCAACTCTGCCCCAGCCCATCTGCTTCTGCAGTGACATTCAAAATAAATCTAGGAACTGTCCCAAGAGTTTTGAAATGTCCCCAGTTCCATCTCTGGGCTAGACTGCTCTGCCGATGTTGGAAGTTGGTGTAGAGCCCAAATATTGCCCAGTTATGTGTGTCGAGCAGCGGATAGACAAAGAGAGGGAAATGTTGCATTGTCTCTTACCTGGTCTGTCTTGCCAGTAATATTTCAAGCACATGGTCATGTGTGTTCTCCTTCTTCCTCCAGGAGCGTTCAGAACCTGCCAAGGGAGCAGCCCCCACTCTCTGAGTTTATACCACGCAAGCAGGGGACATCTGCATGCAGGAGCCAGCCCACTT